CGTGCTTTACGGGTGGAGACAGAGGAGGTACGGGAGGTGAAGTGCACAAAACACCACTTGGAGAACTCCCATACAGCAATAGCACAGATGCCAATGCAAATGATGGACACTGCTAGCATTAGATCTGCGTCAAGGGACACAGGAAGAGACACGTCGTCAAACTCTTCCTCCTGCTGGCTAGCGGCACCTAAAACCTGCAACAAGGCGAGTACGGCAAGAGTGCTCAACTGCAAGTTCTGCTGGGCCACGACTCCTGCGCCAGCAAAGTGGTACCTGCGGTGGGCCTCCACTCCCGTGGGACGAGTGGTGATCCAGCTACACTGGATGGCCTCCAAAGTGGCCGTCGCCGTTCCACGAAAACTGTCTAGGCTTAAGCTTTTACAACCAGCTTCTGCTCGTCCCCAAACTGCGTTCAACCTTCCTGTGCAAGACCTCACCCTCGTATTTGCCCCTGAGCACCTAAATCCTATATGCTGGTCGTGCTTAATGTTTGGCCACGGTCTCAAGTGCAGTTTAGGACACATGCTGACGGACGAGGCAAGGTTAATGCGCTTGAGGATGGGGATTGAGCTTCTGGCTGCGATGACCCCTCTGAGTGCTTGCCATTAGCAGTAGCACACAAACCGACTACGCTCTGGTGGCTGGCCAAACCCTCCCGGATGGCGTGAGGAACGTCTCCTTCTGCAAACGGGCGTGGTGGCTCTACAACGGACACAAACCTTGCAAGACCTGGTTTGCCCTCCTGACGCCTCAACCAACTACCTTCCGGGGCTAGACACTGCACAACCTTTTCAGTACAGTAAGTGACAGGCTGGTGTCCACTTCACACCGTGGTGCTCTGCAACACGCGAAACTGCTGTGTGCACTGCACTTAAGGGTTCTTGCGAACCGTCACGGAACACAACCTCGGACTTACGAAGCTGAGGGGGTTCATCCCCAGCCAGGTCGCCAGACCGGCGTGTGCGCGCCTGGCGTTCTACTTGCGCGAAGGGAGCCCTCAACTCCCATTGAGGTGGTTGCTCTGGCCACGAGCCTTCACACACAGTCTCCTCCTCAACCTGAGGCCGTGTTTCTTCCTCCTGGGTTTGGAGGCCGTGCAGTGCCTGCTTCTGGTCTTGCAAGCTGGCACATGCTACGTGGAAAGGCTCCTCCTCCTCACCTTGTAGCACGAACCCTTCCAGGCGTGGAGCTGCGGCTGCTGACTGCAAAAATGGTTGTGCAACGCTTTGGCCTACAAACCGACCCTCTAAGCAACCTAGACCCAAACTTAACAACCCACCCGTTGTGTGCGAGGGTTTCACGTCGCTGTTGTGCTTGTTGACAAACAACCGCTGGTCACCATACAAAGGCTCAAGTTGACCACTACAATGCCTAGAACCTTCACACTCCAAACCTCTGCCGAAGCACGCGGGTCCAACCCGCCAGGGTGGAGTGACACAGGACAAACAAGGCACCGCGCTGGAAGTGGCCACAACTGACAGGCAAGGCAAAGAAGCCCGGCCAAAGCCAAACACCAGCAGCACGCACAATGCCAACATGGGTAGCAACACCACACGGAGTGCTCTCAGGCTTGTCGTGCCAAAGAGGCTCGGCATGGGCCCCAACGATGAGGACCAGCATACGCTGGGGTTTTGGGTCCTCCAAAGTCTGCATAGGCCATCTTGGGGAAGTCTTTTGGGGGCAAATTCCCACGCTGGACGCTCCTGTATAGCTGGGGCTTGTCTCCTCCTCAGCCCGGCTCAGACCCATGTTTGAGTTGGACATAGTCATGGCGAGTGGGCTGGATTGGGAGCCCGAATAATTTGGGACATTTATGTCCAAACTGCTTGGGTGAGTTGGGCGAGCCACGTTTGATGCCCTCACGGCCTCGGGGCAACCAACACCAACCCCTAACCCATCTAAACGTACTCCAACCGTGGCCCACAGAGATAAACCTGCCTCTACAAGCCCATCTCTTCCGAGTGGGGTGGTGCTACCCTCACTTCCTGGCAACACGTCCAATCGAGGTCGTAAACACAATAATCCTCCTGCCCCGCGTCGGCTGGACCAATGCTATCAACCTCATCGGACGCATCCATGCTAAACCACATGGTTTCAAACCCCCGGCTGATTGATCCATCCCTCAACACATGTTGGGAATTCTCGGGCACAGACTCCTTTTGGATGGGATGGCTGAAGCCTGGTGTGGTGGATGCTGGACTTCGGGGTGTAACATGCTGCGCTGGGCTTTACACGCCTCAAGTTGGGCAATCAATGCTAATGCCATGTTGCATTCAACCTCCGCGCAACCATTTTCAACCTCTAACCTGAGTGGGCTACCCCCGGGCGGATACAGCTCACAGCTACCGGCCGACCAGACTAACTTAAAGCCCAGCTGCTCAATGATGGCACCCATCGGGACGATTGGCTGACAAAGGCCATCCCCCCCGAAAGGCAGGAGCAAAGTGCCGGAGGATGTCAAGCGCATGGATGTGGTGTTATCCCCCGCTAGGGCCACCTGAACCTCCAATGCTTCCTCCCACTCCTTCTCATCTTTTGCCTGCCTCATGGGATGCGTGGCACCTGAATCTAAAACGGCGTACACTAAGGGGCAAAATCCCTCTTCTGGCCCAAGTCCTAGTTCCCGAGCCGAAAAGGTAGACTTGGCGCAGATGTGGCCATTTTTGCTTCCAAACCCAGCATTATGACCTCTCCACAGACCCTGGTTTTCGCTTCCAAAATGGGAGTCTGTCAAACCCTGATTTTGGCCATTCGGGGGCATTCCCAACCCCTGGTTTGAAGCCTTCAGAGGGGGGGTTGGGGAAGCAGGATTTTGGCTCCCAAAGCAGCTTGCTGGCATGATGGACGCGATGGACAAACGATTGATGGAAGGCTGTGATGAAGATGACTGCTGCTGACCACCTCCTTCCGGAGTGGGGGACACGGGCAATGTGGCCTGAGCCGTGGCACCTGATTGCCTCAAAGCCTGACAAGCCTGCAAAAGGAAGGAATGTATGGACATGATAGGAGTGGCTGGCGCAACGGGCTGTGGTGTGGGCTTCGCCTCCTGTGCTTTGTTAGGATCCTGACTACGGGTTGCTTGACAGTCCACAGCCCTGTGACCCTCGGACCCGCAATTGAGGCATCTCCTAAACCTTTCAGCCTTCGTGAGCTCAGCCATGGAATGTGTGTTCCTGCATGCGGCCCCGTACTTGCAACCCTTGGGTGAGAGGAAGTACTTACACAGCGGCTTTCCCTTCCCCCCATCTCCTCCTGAGGCTTTGGTCCCATCACTACCCGTGACATCAATGGCCTGAACCTTGGCGATTGCATCAACCCTTTTTGGCTCATGCTCCCGCTAACGTCTCAAACTCGGCCAGCAAATGTTTATGGTAGGACATGACCGCCTCTCCCGAGGGGCGTGCATGGAGTTGCAACGTGCTCTTAACAATTTCTGTCCTCCACGACACCTCCATGTTTCCTGAAATCACGGACCTGGTCATGCATGTGAGGGCGCCTACCAAAACCATGGGATCAGGCAAGTTCTACCACAATCCACGCACCGTTGGTACCACCTGCCCCAGGGCTAACACACCCGACGCCGCATCCTGTACCTCCTGGGGGTTGTGCAAGTTGGTCACTACAAGGTTTCGTTCACCGGCTCCCCCTGGCTGGTAATTGGTATACAACCTGAAAAGAATGCGCGCGGCTACCTGATTGGCTTTCCGGGCTATAATGTCAGCCTTTACTGAGGGATCTAGTGCACCCAACAGCATCGCACACGCTCTGGCATTGACCCTACCCCATTTACCCTCAACAAGTTCCAACCTGTCATCTGGTTCAACGCTAAGGCGATCTATAGGCGAAGCCACAACCCATTGATCGTACGCATACCGCCTGACTTGGACCACACCAGACCACCATGCCTGCGAAGTATCCGAGAGATCCCTCATCAAACCGGTCACAAGCTGAAGCCAATCCTGGAATGCCAGGGAGCCCATGGAGGGATCTGGAGGCGCCAACTTAGGCAGATCAGCTACACCTGGCTTTACAACCTCAGGAGCGTCATGATCCTTACCCTGAAGCTGCTGCAGTTGCATGATTTGTAGCTGCTGCGTTCCCATCACTAAGGCATCTATCACGGATGCCAGAGGAGCCTGATGAACCTGTGACCTGTGTGGATTCACCTGTTGGCACATTCCCATCCCTCCCAGGTGGGGTGAACGGAAGTGTGCCGCCATAACTGGGCTGATGCTGACCAACCCTCCCGGGTGGTGGATTGGAGGCTGTAACCCTCTGGGACCCTGACATCCCTCCAAAACCCGACCGCAAGTTGGACAACAACCCTGGAATGGAGGCAGCTGATTGGGCAGGACCTCTCAAAGCATCAACTGCCTGAGCTACACCATGTATGTGCGTCATTGGCGTGATGACATGGACCTGAGAATCCTGGGATGGGGCAACCTGAGGGTTATGCTGGGGGACTGATGGGGCAACCTGTGGTGCATGACTTGCCATGGCCACCTCTCTCATCATCTGCTCCCTCACTGCATGTTCCCTCTGTGATGCTTCCTCCAGCTGCCTCTTCAACCTCTGGATCTCAATGTCCTGTGCCTGGGCCCTGCTGCCAAACCCCGCTAGTTGCCTAGCAACCTCAGCTTGAATAGCTTCTTGTGGTAGAGTTGAGGAGTTTGATTTGCTTGAGGGCCTATCCTTTTGATAACCATAAAGTAGGGGAGCCCTTTGCTCTAAGGCTTGCATGCGCTGCAAGGTTTCCGGACTGAGCAAATTAGAGCTATCCCTCCCGGGAAGCGGTGGTGCAAAGGAGGCTGGCGTACCATGTGATCTCACGTGGGGTGGCGAACTACCATGCGAACCCAAGCTCCCATCTCCTAAGGCCAAATTCCCTAGGGCACCATCCGGACTACCCGT